TATGTCAGACTATCATCAGCATTTTTGCATGATTAATCTCAATAAAGCTGACACATCGATATCACTAGAATTACATAGGTATATATTATCATATATTCGGAGTAAATTTCTGTATATGATTATTTCGGGCGTATTATACGTGTTATATGAAGTTTATATTGTGAAGTTGCGCCAACTCTATAAATTTCCAGAGTAATTACTTTGCACGGGGGTGACGTTAGCAGACATTTCTGTAGTAATAACTTTCTCGCGCATTAACAGCCTCCAAATTAACAAACTTTCACGCTAATTGTTTCTGATGCAACGGTATCGCGGAATATACCTACTGCCGTTCTCCGTATCATCGAAATTTTGGCAGTAAGCTGTAAATCTAAATATATAGCTTCGAGATAAGCAAGTACGCGATTTACAAATTTCTGGAGAACTTAAATATCGCAGCTCGTTACAAATTGCTTAATATTCTGTAATCTTGTTTTCTTATTAATAAAATTATCGAGCATATGCATATATATTACAAGCATTAAATTGAATATCTTTATATTTTATTAAATTTTTTCGATGAAATTATTCAGCTATTATACATAACTATTTTATTAATTAAATTGAAACGGGATAAGAATATTGAAAAATTATTTTCTCATTCTATATTGTTTGATATACATAATTAAAGTGATTCTAAACATTCTTGAAAAGTCTGCGATTTCCGCTCTGTTGTATTGACAAAATGAGGTCAGATAAATTATAAATCTATTTATTGGCTATACGGATTGTTTTTACCTGAAATTAGAACGCTTCGCTCTTTGTTAATATTAATACTTTAATTTGTGCAGGAAAAAGATTTATCAATCTCTATATATAGTCTTATATATCTTGGTTACAGAATTATGAATGTTTAGAATTCATAATTCTGTAACCAAGATATATGAGACTATATTTAGAGATTGATCAATCTTTTTCCTGCACAAATTAAAGTATTAACAAAGGGCGAAGCGTTCTAATTTCAAGTAAAAACAATTCGTCTAATCAATAAATAGATTTATATAATTTATCTAACTTCACATTTTGTCAATGAAACAGAAAGAAAACTTGGGTTAGCTAAGGATCCCCTTAAGTATAAGAAATGAAGATGATGAAGATTGTTTATAAGTCGTTTAAATTTGATACCATGAATCATTGTTATAGCGAATCGTGGAATGGATTTTGCAATCCGAGGGTTAACCTTGTCAATATATAAAAGAGAGCGAAAAATATCTCGTATGCGAAAGTAGAAAGCCGTCGCAGTCGCATCCAAGTATAAATCTTTTCTTGTATACCGGGAGAGATTTCAAGTTTTGCGCGACGTCTCGCGCTATAGAGATGGCCCTTGCTCCGGTTGGGAAACGGAAACGGAATCGGAATAAACTCGGCTTCGCGGAGCGTGATGAAATAAAGACGAGAGGCGGAATGGATTGATCCTTTGCATAAAACTTTAAACTGCAATTCAGCGATTCCTCACTAGCGGAGCGGAACGCGCGAGACAAATGGCGCGAGAAATCGGGAGAGGTCGGCGCGCTATCGCAAGTTTAATGCCGCTCCAAGATCTTTTTGATACCTCTCGGGAACGGGAGGAGAGGTTTCTATAACACCGGGCGTGTTATAAAATAAAACGTCAATCTCAAAGGTTATCGATTGGGAGAAATGGTGGATATACTATATATGTGTGGAGGCCGCCGCGAAAATAGATGGCAATATTTTTCGAAGTTATTTTGAAAACAAGATCGGAGAGAAAAAAAGGATACGTATGCACGGATAAACGTATTATTGGAACACGTGTAATATTGTGATTGAAATTTAAAACGACTCCACAATTTTAAAATATTTAATACAATAAATAATTAAATTTTAGAATGCCAGGCCGCTGCGAAAATAGATGGCAAATATTTTTTCAAGGTATGTTGAAAACAAGATCGGAGGGAAAAAAAGAATGCGTACACGGATAAACGGTATTATTGGAACACGTATAATATCGTGATTGAAATTTAAAACGACTCCACAATTTTACAATATTTAATACAATATATAATTAAATTTTAAATCAACTTTTTGATGACACGTTTCTTTTGTAAAATTGGTATTTTATCATCAATTATATGTAGGAGAAATAAGTATTAGATGTGAATTGATTTCAAGAGATATTGTCACAACATGCTATACTCGCTATTCTACTTAAAGAGATCACAGATGGTACTAAATGACTTAAATTATAACTGAAAACATGTCTAGACATTGCGACAATGACACGAGAGCGACGGTTCTCATCCACGCGCGCAAGCTAATACACCCATTTTTGGATGCTCCGCAAAATTTTCTTTGTATAAAAAAAAAAAATGCTGAACAGATATAAGAACGAATAGATCGCGCTACTGTAAAATTGCACGTTTCCTTATTTACGCGAGCGAGGGAAAAAACATATCGTTTACGATCGCGGCGCGCCAAGAACTGAAAGGGGTTAATCGTTCACTCAAGTCAGCAGTGAAACGATAGTGTTGATTTATCGGCTTGCGGATCGCAGCTGCGACGCTTCAGAGTGCAACAAGATATGCGACGTATGCGTTATGACTTACGACCGAGCAGAGACTGTCCTCGCCTCTCGAAATGCCGAACATCCAGATGCCGACGCGAGGAGTATGTATCCTTCTGTTGTGCGAAACACAGAAGTCTCGAGCGAGTGCATCTCCATCGGGAGGGGAGATTTATGAGAGTTCGCTGGTCCTCTCTCGCGAGAAACCCGTTAACGAGCAAAGTGTCGTCGAGATTGTGGGACCGGTCTCTCTCTCTCTCTCTCTCTGTGTGTCTAACTCTAAGAAACACTTTGAGAGCTACCGGCCGGATTCTCGCCCAAGAGATCATTTAAGTGCGTTATATTAAGCGATCACACGAGAGATCGCATGTCTACGCCGATCATTCCTCGCATTGCGCAAGTAATTTCATATCGGGAGAAATTATAACCTGCTCGTATATATCCGAGAATGAGAAGTTCAGTTTAATTTCATATTTACTCGCAGACTCAATATTATGACTATAAACGCTGAATGAATTACCAAACTAGTTAGTTTGAATCTTTTCAAGCGTCAAAGCAAACTAATTTGAATTTGCTAAGATAATACCGATTAATTTAATAACTCTTCGAGCTGTGCAACTAACGATCATTTATTAAATATTGTTGAATTAATTATCTTTTAGACGCTTTAATTATATTGTGGTTAAAAAGAGATAATGCATAGAGAATGATGTATAGAGAACGATTAATTTATCCATTCTAATTATGCATATATTTTGTATTGTGCATCCAGTTCCTAAATAATAACATGAATGTTTGTTGCGTAATTAACGATTCCTTTATATAAACAGATTAAATATAAGCAGATTGAAAGCTTTATATATATATACATATATACACAAATAGATGAATAATATTTTAATTACTATAATTTTAAAATTATTTCTTACGTCACTGTGAGAAATAAATTATTCAAATAAATGACACAGTTTTGGGTAAATTATACGTTATCTATATATTGAATATTTTTAGACTGTTCGGCTTATTTTACGTATCCGTGATTGAATGACACCGGCTTGAGATTAATGTGGCAGAATTAATATTCCTCGTCACGTCGTGCCATAATTATATCATGAGTACTATCCAGTCTCGCGCTAACTAAAATAAATTATCGTCACGGTGGCTGGCGAAAGTCATTATACTCCATGATTACTACGAACGCTTAAGGAAAATAAACCCTTTGGCTAGCTGCGACATTGCGTTTTATCGAACGGTGAGCAACGCGACAGGAGCTTATTTGCTCTGAAAACAAGCGTCGATAACTGCTTCTCTATCGCATCGAAAATAATCGTATTCCAAACCTAACGGATATGCTCTCTGACCTAAAAACTACATCGCGTTTCTCGCAAGTCATACCTACAACTATCTCACGTTAAATCTATGTTTCGATTGATTGAAGTTTCGTTTTATTATATGAGAACTTTTAACAACTGCAGATATACATTTATCTATTTTATTAATTTAGTACTTAATTAAAAAAAAATATATATATATATATATATATATATATATTTGCTTTTATGTTTAATAATTCAAATTCAAGTAAATTGATTTTGTGACATGATTTTGGATTTTATGAAATAATGCAGAAGTGGACAGTCAAATAGAGCAGAATATAATAGGTTGCTGACCCCGGATCCCTGGATTCGATCTTATTCCCGACGCTCTTCGATTTTTGCCTAGCGCTCTCTGACAGGTCTATTTGTCCGAAATGGAGTGGGTCGCGGTGTCGCATATATATACACAATGGGATCGGTATTTCCGTACCGAGAGCGCGTCGGCGTTCCAATAAGAAATGCCATCACTTCGAATTAGAATTCCCGAGGCGATGAGACATCGCGGCAGATTTGTGGCAGCATGCCCGAGTCATAGTCGACGACCCCCTTGTCTCCTCAAATCGCGTGCACACGATTAACCCGCGATTAACAAGTCCCTTTATTGTTATTCCGCGAAATTACACGCACCAGCACGCAGTCATTTAAGATCAAATAAAGGTGAAACATAAAGACATAACCGCGGCAATTATCCAACGAGTTAAAGTGTTACTTTATTCTCTAAATTTCTCAAGACAGCACTACATTTTTATCTAGAAAAATATCTAGATATCAGTATAAAATCAGGTCACTGTTATTCGAACATATAATTGTATCAGTCTAAAGATATAAACTTTGGTTCATTTAAAATATTTCTTATTCCAATTAAAATATTTTCCCGTGTTACTTTATATTTCAAGTATATAATATGAAAGATAATTACAAACAAGAAAAAAGACAAAGAAGCTTTGGAAAAATGTGTATAACATTTTTGAATGTCTTTGTACAGTAAGCTAACTGCCAACATCCTGTCAGCAACACCTTCAGACTACAGTTAACTAAATATATATTCTGCTTTATTTGACAAGGAATGAGGAAGAGACGGGCGCGTTATGGTGAGACAAATCACACCGGGAAGTTCCTGATCCCGATCAAGATCGGTGACCGAACGAGAAAGTGATTAACGAGCCCGGCCGAAAGTTTCGACGCAAACTAACACCTCCCATTCGAGCTTAAATTTGTAGCTTGTCCGGCCGACATCACAGTACATCTCCGTCAGACCATTCAATCAGTCAATCATTCAAATTCTTTACTCGATTTTTTTTTACCCCAAACGAAAGAAATAAAAGGACAAAAACCTTTCGAACCTAGTGATGAAAGATAATCCTGGATGACATGTGTCACAGTCCCCTAATTCCAATCTTAGCTTGTCACGCGTTCTCAAAACGTATTCGTACTTCTGTTATTCGCGTTCTAGATGTTAATTCTTGCGCCAGAATTTTTAGATTTTATAAATTTCTTATCAATTTCAAGAATTTTTTTGTTCAAGTCGCGAAATTAATAGTGTATTGCAATCATATCAATATGAGTGTTAAATGGGCTATAAAAGAATCAAATAAATATTTTATATAATAAATAATAAGCTACCACGCATATACAATGAAACAAACTTTTAAGTTTTTAATTATTATTAATTATTAATTTAATCGCTATTTATATATAATTTTATTTAAGTTTACATAAAAATATCAGAGGAAATAATATTTATATGCTGATTCGTGATTCATTTCAATTAAAAATCTATATAAATTAATATATATAAACTATTTCTAATTGTAGCTATTATAATTATGTAAAAAATTTCTATACAATTCAAATTTTATTTCATTAAAATTTCTTATAAACAATGTTTCTCTTTTTCTTGATAAAGTAGCATCTCTGAGAAAAGTATTTTGCGTTTTTTTCACTACCTTCGTGCCACTGCAATCGAGGTCGAATATATATAATGGCTACATTCCGTGCAAGTGCTAACCATCGATGAAAGTTCTTGCCATCATCCATAGCCTTCAAAATCTGGCCGGACGCAAGAAACTTGAAACTAGGATGGTATTACGGCGCGAAGTGACCACATTCCACGATAGTTTGTGTCACTTGGTCGCGGCACTACCGCCATTTTAACTTGGCAAGTACGGACCCGGTTTTCGGCCAACCTACCAAAGAGAGGAGCCGATCTCTTCTCGCGTCCGCAACCGCGAAACCCACGCGTCTCTCTCGCGCCAGCCTGCCGAACTTTCGGGCAAATTAGCAATTTGCCAGCAACAGACTCCACCCTGGTCCCGAAGCACCGATTGGCACTACTCGTGGAGGTAATCACCTCGTGACCGAAAATTGCGAACCGCCTCTATTCGTCGTGTCGTGTACGCCGCGTTAGATATACAAAGTGTCCCTGAGCAACAAACACTCCCCTTTGGCCAGTAAACACTATTATATGTATGTGTAGCCTAATATAGATTCATGCGGTTTGCCCGGCAAACTTTCATATCATGAATTTCCGTTTTATGGAAGGATGTTACTCAATCCCTTTTATACTTTTTTGTTGCGGAATTTTCTTCAAACACAGATTTTGTAATTTGTGTGAAATATAATGTATATTATATCAAGGATTTTATTGTTCTGTTATATTAAAATTAAAATCGAATTTTAATGAAAATTCCACACTTTCAGAGAATTCCATAATTTACAAATGCTATTTTGATTAAATTATCATTGTATAGCCTTTGTCAGAAAACTAAATTTTCATATTCAAGAAATATATAAATTAAAATAAGTTTAATCATTATATTGAGACTAATTATATATATTCTCACCTTTATCTCTCTTTTTTCTGTCAATAATATCAGAAACAGTGCACAAGGGATTTAATTTAATATAATGTACTTCTTACTGAAGTTATCTTTCTTTGGAAACAGTCTACGATGCAAGAACAAAATTACAACACTTCTCACTAATCCTACCTTTCATCATTGCAATGAACTGTTATCAGCTTTACCACAATAGCGAGACAATCTCGCTGTGGAAACAGCATTGCAATTGTGAAATACCTATGTCAAATGATTACAACGGTTTACTATTAATTTAACTACATAACTCTCTGCTTCAATGAATGACTGCTACTAGAAAATGCGATATTGTAAGCGCAAATGGTTACAGAAAATGTTCTACAATTTCATACAAGAGAAAAGATAGTTACTTTTCGATAGAAATTGCGCTTTTTATGTCTCATGAAATTTTATCCGATAAAATATGTATTTTTCTCTCTCGCGAGATTTTTATCTCCACTTATCTATCGTGTTTTTAAGTGTGAAAAATCCATAGGAAAAATTAGTTCTTCTAAATTTATTTATCACAATATTAATTCATAAATAAAGAGTTCTTTATAAACAAGAATATATTGTCAGAACCATTCATCCAAAATTGATAATTTTTAAATATTATCAAGCTATTTAATTTTTTTACATCGTTCTTTTACCGAGCCAACTTTTTTCCCAAATTATTTCAGTGTGATACTTGATGGTCACTCAGGAATTTCGCTAAAACATTTCTCGCAAGAGTCGCAGAGGATTTTTGTCATTTATATATTATACTATCGATATTCAATTAAATATATCGACGACTTTGTATAACATATTTGATGAATCATCGTGACAATTCTTCGAATCCTGGGATATTTTAAAAATAGCATTACTTTTTCATTTATAAGTTTTTATATAAATTAAAATTTGATTGTTCTTTAATATAAAATTATTAATTAAAAGCCATTTGATTAAACCATTTATTTATATTAAATTTATCTATGAAAAATATATACACACGAGAAGCAATAATTTTTTAAACAATAATATATACATTGAAAAAAATTATTAAATTAATAAATATTTATTTCAATATTGCCTAATAAATAATTTATTTGAAACAAATAAATATTTATCTTTTTGAAAATGATCTTCTTTTATATCAAATAAATATTATTCACATCAAATCAATATTATTAGTTTCAAATAAATGATTTATTAGGCAGTATTAAAATTAATATTTATTCGAATTTAATGAATTGTTTTCAGTAATAGATTAGGCTCGATTTTTTAAAGATATGAATTGACTATATATTATTATTTATAAATGATAATCCTATTATTTATAGCTTTGAAGATCTTAGGATATAAACGTCTTAAAATTAATAACAAATTGTTAAACTTGATTTCTAAAGGACTCTTTTAATTAAGGATATCAAATATATTTCTATAACTAAGAATAAGCTCAGCGTCCAATTTTCGCGTAAGAGAGAACTCAAAGGATTTTCTACTACAAAGAAAAAAGGATGAACCTGGGTCATTCTATATTTTTCCGTAATTAGATCGTTTAGCACCTGGTTCGCGTTTACGCTTCCAGGTCATCATCTACGTCAACCATAATGCTCAATTACTGTGTAGTCGCCTTCATGAGCTGATATCGGCGCTCGCCAAGCGAGCTCATCAAATCGTATGTGCGCAGTTTTCGTGGCAATTGCGAGAAGATTGTAGGATGAAAGATGCTATCCGATAAAAAATATTTATTATCGATATTACTATTAATATATTAATAATGAAATTTAGAGAATAAATACTTTTATTTTTTTAATTTAATTGAGAAGAAATATTGTTTTTCTGCTTTGCGTAAAATATTTAGAAACCTTCATTAAAAAGAGAAATACATATTTCTTCAAGCGTTAAAATATTGAAGTGTTCATATTTTTTTATTTTAGTGTTCATATACTATTTTTTTAAAGCATTTTTTCAACACAAGTCCCTTATAGCAATTTGATTATAATTATATAATTCTATAGCATTACACATATATATTTATATTGAAAATCGATTTAATAACTTTTCTACTTGAGATTTTACTTTCAAATCTGAACTATATCAGTAGAACGAAGTTCGAATTAATCTTTCGGACGAAATTGCAAAGGTGATGCAAATCGACCATATATCGATCATGATATCACTAAGAATGCATAGTATACCGGAAGTTCTCGGTCGATCCGGGCGATGACGACCAGACGCTTCCAATTACCGGTCTCAATAACGTCAAAACGCTCGCACTTTTGCTCGCAGCTCGCGTATAACTCGACGAAAGTGTCTGATAGTAGCACAAACACCATTTCACGTTTCACCGTATCGCAATTTCCGTATCGTACATGCACGCTGAGTGCAACGCGTTCCCTCTGTTCTCGCATAGTTCATTTCCAGGGGAGAGAACGTCGTCGACATCGCTTTCCGTCGACAACGGAATTTCGTCGCCTCATGATAAGAGAAGACGAAGAGGATCCGACGGCTAGAGAAACGCAGTCTAGTCAGGAATAGACGACGCTTCTCTTTTCATGCAGGCATTAAATTACTGAGAATAAAAGGAAGAGAATTATGCGTGGTGAAATTTAACGATTGTGACATTTAATCCTTAATTATTATAATCGAATAAAATTTAAATTTTAAGCCTGTTTATTTGCTTAATTAGTATTAATTGAATAATATGATATTACTAAAACATGCTCATTAAATAATAACATTTCAATTATCAATGCTGATTCAATATTAAAAGCATTTCGATTATCATTCAATATTGGAAGTACTTATTGAAAATTTGTTTTTCACTCTTTTTTTCTCCATTTTTCTTTGTAGTAAAATGATATTTCTAAAAGATAGAATAAATATGATATTAGATTATATCAGCATATTTTCTGTTTGGAAAATGTCTTTGTGCGTCGTACACGTCAACTAAATTGAAACTGTATAGCATTGAAAATCAAATATGTACATGTATACGAGATAAAAAAAGAAATAGAAACTTATTTCCTTTTTCATCTGATTTTAATATAAAACGATAGAATCACATTTACGCAGACATTCGCTATTTCTAATTTTATTCGCAAAGTGCTATCTGCAAGTCAGATATTTCGTTATCATATGTCACACACGTGTGTTGCCCTATTATATGTATATCGTGTTCCGCGAAAAAATAAATGAAACAATATACCGAGCGACATCCGGCAATCTAATTAAACACAGCGCGACAAAATGCAGAATAGCGGATATCATCAAACTCGTTCTTAATCACAGTTGTAGAAGGCATCCATAAATTCATAGTTTCGGTGGAAACCACCTGCAGGTCGGCCGTACATCACGCCCGCCATTCTCATGCATTACCCACGGGGGAGAGATAAATTGGCGGAAAATAAAACTCTACCCCCTTTAGGACTTGTGATTTTAATTAAACCCCGTCTCGGCGA